ACTGAATATGGATACTAACATTATTATATAACTTATAGACTGAAGAGAATGATTGAATGACAAAGATAGAATGATTAATTGACCAATAGAATGAGATATGATGAGTGATAGAATGATTGATTGATTGATACATGTGATCAGTACATATAACATATATTGATTGATATATTTTCTTAGATGATTTATAACATAAAATTATTATTTTTTCATTGTATTGATTTCAGTTGTATGATTACTTGTTAGGTTATCTGATTGGGTGCTCCGAATCGCGGCCAATCATTGGCAATGATTGTGCCGCCTCTCAATCATTGACAATGATTGCAACGACAGTGCACGCGACGCAGTTTCACTAAACCACATCAGCACCCACACGGAGCCGTCAGATCAAGTGCAATTTGAAATGAACAACTACGATCATGTCAAACAAGAAGATTAACCGTGGGATCAAATCCACGGTTAATCAAAAGCTGCGTAGCAGCTTGATCTGGACCGTTAATCGTGAGATCAACGACCCATAAAACATATACTTAGTTCATGGGATGAACCCAATATTGCATTTTTTTGTCTCGTTTTCTCGATTGAATTGATCATTTTACTTAAAATTTTAAACCTCGATAACATGCATGAACATAAAATCATGGAGAGATTCCTACGACTTCAAACATACTTAATAAAAATCTATTTAAAGCTAAGTGTTCTAACCTAGGGTTGGGGTTTTACCATGATTTAATTGATGGATTGATGTGGTTTTTGTTTCTCTGAGCTTGTAGATTGTCCACACTCAATCCTTCTTTAGAAGTCATGGTCTGAAAAGCTTTGAATCGAGCGGATGGGGACTTGGACAAAGTAGTGGCTTGAGTGGCCGGAGGATCATCACTGGCAATCTTTGACTGATCGGGTTGAGCTAGGGAAGTCTTCGGGAGGGCTTGAGTAGTGAGAAAATAGAACTTGAATGAATGAGGTTCATTTGGAGGTTTTTCCCTATTGAGTCATCCTCTAATTGAATGGGCGGCTAAGATGGACTGGACAACTCCCTAGATGCTTGCCAAGTGGCATGAAAGTGGTTAAGAGCAGGGGAATCAAAGGACATCTAGGATAATGTGGTGGAAAGCCTCTTTTGTCTTGTAGTCCACATAGGCTTTATTAGGTGTTGGTTTAGAGCTAAGCTAGGGATTAAAGGGTATTTAGAAGGTTTTAGAGTTGGTTTGAGCTGTTGGAATGAAGGGGTGAGTTTGGGTTAAGCCATTTGAGCATTTAATCCCTTTAGTAAAGCTTGTTGACTGTGTTGACCAGTCAATTGGAAAATAATAGGTGAGGTGGCATGCACCTAGGTGGCATACACCTAGGTGGCCTCATATGCTGATGGGATGTCTTGGGAAGTGTATCAAGCCATGGGTTTGAAGTTTAAATTAAAGTATGAGAATTTTAATGGTTTTTAACCAAGTATGTTAAGTTGACTTGGTCAACTTCATTTGGGTTTGGTTGACCAAAGACTAGGATATACCTAGATTATGAATTGGAGTTAGTTTAAAGCTTGATATAGGTTGGGTTGATTATGGTTTGGCCATGTCTTGAGGTTTTTGACCATAGTTGGGATTTGACCAAGTCAAACTTAGTGTGATTTGACTTCAAATTCATTTGGATGTGCTTGAATCATTCATTTAGGTGAGCTTGAGAGTTTGAAGCATTAAAAAGCTTCAATTAAATGGTTGAGGTAATTTTGATCCAAATAGGTCAAGTTTGACCATACTTGGGCTTAGTTTAGCAAGTCAACTATTGATTGGGTCAAAGAACCAATCAAGTCTAAACCATTGAGGGATGTGTTCAAGGGATTTGACAAAGTTATGAATACATTTGGAGTTTGATTCAATGCTTAAAAAGCTTAATGTTTAGTTTACTCATCCAGGTTAACCCAGGGCCAGAGTTTATAATCAATAGGTTTGGTTTGTTGTTTAGAGACCAGTTGAGGTGGTCCCATAGTCTAGCTTAGTCATTTACGTAAAAATGATCAATTGACCCTTAAAATGCATTTAGGTCAACACTTGTTGACTTGGTCAATTAGGTTGACCCAAGGTCTAGGTTTGGACTTAACATGTTTGGTTTGATGTTTGGAGTATGGTAGAGGTAGTTTCCTAGGTTAGAAAGGTTATTTCAGTCAAATTGATTGTTTGAGCTCTTAAGGGGTTATTTGGTCAGCCTGGGTTGACTTGGTCAACCAAGTTCACCCAGGGCCTGAGTTTGAATCCAATAGGTTTAGTTTACTGTTTTGAGTATGGTTGAGGTGGTCCCAAGGTTTGGACTGGTCATTTCAATGAAAATGACCTATTGGGCCCTTAAGGGGTATTTGGGTCAACCATGTTGACCCAAGGTTTGGGTTTGAGTTTTATGCACTCTTAATGGAATTTAAGATGCATTGGAGGAGGTTCCAAAGTTTAATTTGACTGAGCCATGTTGAAGTTTTGAGGAAACTTAAAAAATTTCCCTTAAGGGTCATTTTGGTCAATTTGACACTTGATCATATGGGGGTCAAAGTGGGTCCACAAAAATGCAGTTTACCACTCAACATATCATGATTAAGGACCTAGATATGATTAGAGGTATTAGAGAAGGCTCTAAGGTAAAATTTCACAATATCACATGTCCAGTGACATGTGATGTAAATATTAGAAGGTTTTAGAGCATTTGGATTTCAATTCAATTTCAGAAGCTAAAGGTCTCAGAATGAGCTCAAATTTGAAGGGTTGACCCTAGGGACATTCCTAATCAATCTGTAATTGATAGATCATGATTTGAGGTCGCTTGAATGGGGTTTGAAATATTTGAAAATTTATTAAAAATGGCTTTCATGATTTAGCCTTGGATTTTGATCTGGATTTCTAAGTTTGGTTAGGTTTTAGATTTGATTGCTTGAATTTGAATTATCCACATCAATCACAATCAATTGGATGATTGTAAATAAATGGATGAGATTCAAGCTTGATAGAATATTGAAATGGCTATGTCTGAGTTGATTGAAGGTCAGGATTGTCTTGGAGTCTGGACATGTTTGAAGTTTGAATTGATTTGATATTTGGATTGGCTTGAAGTCAGGATTGATTTTAGGTTTGAATTGGCATAGGGTCTGGATTGATCCAAAGCCCAGATTGATCTTGGGGTTTGGACTAATCTGGAAGCTGGATTGATCTGGAGTCTAGATTGATCCTAGTGACCTCATATAAAAATGAGGTCAACACCCACATAGATTTACTACCAGCATCGAGCACTCGCCAAAGGCATAACCACATCATAAATAGACGACCATGTGTATATTAACATAATCCACATGTTTGTATTTATTTGTACTTATCAAATAATATATTATTTATTTATTTTTTATAGTCATACCATTTTCTTATAGCTCTTTTAATTTTTACAAATAAAATGTCAAGATATATATTTAAGAACTTCTACCATCTACTATTCATAGGGATTATCTAACTTCCCATCTACTTTCCATGCTCACTTTTCATCTTTGTTCTTTTGCTCTACCAAACTAGATTTACAAGTATGATCATGTGTCACACAAATAAATTTGAATCCAACAAATAGTTTAATTAAATTGATAAAATAAATATCAATAATTTTAAGATAAATATAATATATAAATAATCAATCAAATTTTATAAATACTACTCTTAAAATATT